ATATGCGCGCGACGACCATAGTTCTGTCAATGGCTTGCGGCCTTCCGACTCAGAACCGGCTGGCTTGTACAAGTGCGGGAACCGCTCCTGCATACCCTTCAGTACAGTCGATGAGATGCGGTCAACGCTGTCGCAGTGACGCAACTTGAAGAACTCGGGCGGCTGCACCCTACGGAGCTCCTCCTGCACATCATCTGGGTACTGGCCCATTGCAAAGAGGAGAAGGTCGTAGTGCATCAGCGAGGCTTTACCGTGGTAGGAGCCGCCGGTCTTTGCGCGGTGATAAAGACCCGTCAGCGCGGCGATGGCACCCATGCAGCCTGTGCCGTAGTCAGAGATGGGGAAGGGAGGTACAACAGGTGTGGAGAGGCCCATGAACTGGCCTTGGGCCCAGGCGATTCCAGTCACCTGTAGTTGAGGTCAGTTTTGATCGAAATATTGGAGACTGTACTTGATAACTTACGCAGTCTGCTATCTGCTGCCATCCAGCGCGACCAGCCCACTCGCCCTCGTATCCGAAGCAGTTCTCATTCACGTAAACGATGCCTTTGCCGCGCTTCTTAGCCAATGTAGCCATGGCCTCTATTCCATAGCCAAGCTTATCCAGTGCTCCGGGCCGGTAGCCATCGACGATAACATCTACGTCATCCAATAGCTTCTCAAACTCCTTTCGTCCAGCCTCGCTCTTCAAGTCAAGGTCTGCTGTAAGCTTGCCCATGTTACCATCAACTTGGAAGAACGGCACGTCGGAAAGGCTTGGACTGGTGATCTTCAAGACATCGGCACCATACTCGGCTAGAATACGGGTAACAGTCGGGCCTGCGATGATACGGCACATCTCCAGTACCTTGACGCCCTCAAGAATCTTCTTGCTGCCGTTGCGTCTAGCTGGGAAAGGAGTTGGAGAAAGATCGCCAGGCAATTTGGTGACTTTCCATGCAGGCTCTTCGACGTTAATTTTTCCCTGTGAAATGATTAGCCTGCTCGTTGCGTTCGGATACAGCACTAGGTGAAACTTACATGGGGAGTCTTGATGAAGTCCTCATGTTTGTAAGCAGTCACACCAGCCTGACGTCTCTCCTTATTCATCTCTTCAAGCTCCGCAGCTGTATATTGCTGTACCTTATTCTCAATAACCTTGATGATTTCTTCATAGTCAGTCAAGTCTGGTCGCTGGCCCTCCAGTCCAATCATGTTCAAGGTAGTCGTAGCCTCCAGCGAGCCATGAATATGGAAGTATTCGTCTGGGTTCTTGGTCTTGTAAAGATTCGCCGACATTCGTCGGTAGCCGTTAGATTGGGCAGCCAGCAAATCCGTATCTATTACAGTCAATATTGTCTTATCGCTCCACAGGTCGGTCTACATGGAAGTACATACTCTTCAACTTTGATTTAACAGCAGGGTCCAGTTTTGACAGACCATCCACCTTTGCCATGTACGCTTGACATCCGAAAGCAGTGGCAGCTTCGAGGTTGACTTGAATGCCCCGAGGTCCCGTGCCAGCACCAAAGCGCAGGTCGGCAATGGCGGCGGCCACGGAACCTTCAACGCCCTTCAGCGCAGCGAGAGTCTCGGTCTCTTTAAAAGGAATAGGGAAGTAGATTTCATTATGACTGGTAGAGAACGAGACACGGTCTTTGTTGGCGAGGACCTCGGGCGGTAAGTTGAAGCGTTCCGACTGCTCGCAAAGCTCGGAGAAGATGCGACTAGTCTCAAGGACCGGAGAGTACATGCTGCCTGCCATGTTACTTCTTTCTCTGTAGATACTTGCACTTGGATGTTGGTCGATGGAGGTTCACGGGTGACTTCTTTGCTATCAGATCAACACGTGTCGTGGTTGCCAAGTGAGAGTCCGTAATTAGAAAGCACGAGATGTGCAATGGAGGTTTGTGGGGAAATGAAGCAAGAGCAAGCCGGCTATATAAGGGTCCATGACGACCTTTGATAATCGGGGCCCGAGAGTTTGGCCGTCGGGTGGCCACACCCGCCCCTTTAGCCCAAAGTCCATAGGTCCACGGGTTAGCCGTCGGCTTATATCTATGAGATCGCTACGACTTGGCTAGTTATAAGAAAAATACGGTGCTTTTTTTAACCAAGTTTTCTGTCCACTACTTGCAGCTTCGAATTATCACAATAGACAGCGGGTATAAAACACCCCGAGCCAAGCTACATCCCTCATGATGCAGATCCGAAACAGACGGCTATCGGGATCGGATGTGATTCGATCGGAACAGTCACGTGAGGAATCCATGACAGACAGCATGTGCTTGGGGGATGTTCAATATCAAATTCGGCTCATTTTGCGACTCTTAATGATGTTGCTTGACTGATTCAGTAGTGAGACGAGGCAGAAAGGTGAAGCTTTTCAAACTCAGATGATGTGTATACAACCTTGGAAAGACAATTCCTGTCTATACCACCCTTACGGCGTAGTTCGATTAGATATTGCAAAAAGTACTGCATTCGCGATATTGCACCAAATTTACCTGCGTTGTGGCAATTTATGGATCTCTTTGGAGCTCAGGTACAACACCTGCATGACAATCCAGAATCGCAAGACGCAGTCACGTGACCCGTAACATGTTTACCCCAAATCTCCAAGTTTTGCAACTTTTCCAGTAGGCGACGATGCTACTGCGAACCAAATTGCGACCGAGGGCATTGCGGCTCACAGCTTATCGCCTGACCCGTTTCAACTCCGAGATCCCATTCCTTCGCATTCAAGATGGAACTTTTTACAAGAAATATCCAACCGCCGAAGACTCGTCTAATCCACCTATCTTCCCAAACCTGAACTTCACTCTACCCTGTGTTCATATTGACCGCTCATTCAAGGCGGCACCTCCACAACACTGGGCTATAATTGGCCCATCTGGCCGAACCGACCTCCTCCATATCCTTCGCGGCCAACACATCTGTATCCCGCCCAACGCACGTTCATATCCATACCTCCTCACAGACGAGATCGCCGACAAGGACCCACGGTTACGCGTGGTGGAAAATGCGGTCCAATACGTTGGATTCAGTGGCGAGGGCTCGGGAGCTATTGGGGGAACCCGTGGCGCATATCTCAGTGCTCGCTATGAGAGTTATCGGGAGGAAACCGACTGGACCGTGCTGCAATACTTGCGTGGCCAGACCTCCTTAAACCCGATGAAGGGCGACGAGCAAGGCACGCTACATGATGAGAATTTGCTCCAGCGGACCATTTCAGGTTTTGACCTCAAAAATATCCTCGACTTGCCAGTCTCCAGTCTGAGCAATGGTCAAACCCGCCGAGCGCGAATTGCAAAGGCGGTTCTAGGCAAACCAGAGCTATTACTTCTTGACGAGCCATTCAGTGAGTTTTGGAATGTGCATTCGATGGCTGTGACCTTCTAACCTCTACTTAGTGGGATTGGACCCGTTGGCAGTGAAAAAGATCTCTGGAATTCTTCATGAGCTCGCAAAGAGACACTCCCCGCGGCTCATTATGGCTTTGCGCCCCCAAGACAAGGTGCCGGACTGGATCACGCACATTATGATTGTTGGCAATTCCAATAAGGTGCTCCTGCAAGGGCCAAGGCCAGCTATCGATGACACACTCAATGTCTGGAGCTACGTTGCAAATAAGTCTAAGCCGGACTCTCTACCCGAACAGCAAACACAAATATTGAAGAAATGTGAAGCAGACTTGAAGGCTGGTGTCTTGGACAAAGAACTACTTGGGGATTTGGTGGCGCATACGAATGCTATAAAGACCTTGGAAATCTATGCACCATTAGGCGGAGAACCAGTCATCGATATGGAAGGAGTTCGTGTCCAGTATGGGGACAACGTAATACTCGGTAATTGGCAACAGAAGGTGAATAACGAAATAAAGGACGGGCTGCACTGGCGAGTTCGTCGGGGGCAACGCTGGGCGATCCTTGGTCCCAATGGGTCAGGCAAGACGACCTTGCTATCAATGATCACATCCGACCATCCGCAGGCGTATGGGCAGCCTGTCAAACTTTTCGGACGATCCAGGCTTCCCGAGCCTGGAAAACCAGGAATTTCAATCTTTGAACTGCAGTCCCGCATTGGACACTCATCACCGGAAATCCATGCGTTCTTCCCGCGTCAACTGTCAATCCGCCAAGCTCTTGAGACTGCCTTCGCCGAAACCTTCCTGTCGAGGCCGAAGCTGAACATTGAACGAGATCAAGACATATCTGCAGTCCTGCAATTCTTCAGGCCCCAGCTGGATCCAAATTACGTCACGAGCAAGGTGGCAAAAATATCGACTGCCCATCTCCCATCCCTGACCAAGCAGACTCACGTCAAGCTAGATCAATATGCGTTAATGGATCACATCGTTGGATACGCGGATGAAATTCTCTTCAGTGAGCTCACCACCGCACAACAACGCATTGTGCTTTTCCTCCGAGCCCTCGTCGCCAGGCCGGACATTGTTATCCTCGACGAGGCTTTCTCGGGGTTATCTGCAGCACAGCGTAACAGGTGCTTGCACTTCTTGGAAAAGGGCGAGAGGTCTAAAATCCGTGTCGCTAATGTATCCCGCACAGAGCAGCATTTACGGTTCACTGGTCTCACGGAGGATCAAGCCTTGATCATGACTAGCCATGTGCCCGAGGAGATTCCTGACAGCGTCCGCTATTACATGCGACTGCCGTCTCCTGCGGGCACTACGGATCCACTTGATTTCCGCTTTGGCATTCTCCAATCTAAAAGTTCTCTGAGACATCCTCAGACCTGGGAGGCAGCCTGGTCTCCGCCAGATGTGTTCATCGAGCATGCCCGCAGGACGTGGCGCCGCAAACAACATACTTTACCGGTACAGGATATTACTGAATTCGAATGGTGGTCGATATAGAGGTATAGACATTTAGATCTGATCTGGCATTCTTGGCGACTGTATTATAGAGCTTCTTGTATATCTAATTAAAATCCCAATTCATCTGCGACAAATCGATCTACATTTCAGGAAAGTCCGCCGTCATTTAACACACCTGTACCACCTAGGGAATTCCCGCAACAAAAGTCGACTCGGCGTCGGCCGGTTCCTCACGAGAACTTTTATCACTCCGAGGCTCATCTTCCCTTCCGTCTTGCCATGTCGAGCAATGGCGACACCGAAGCGCCTTTGAACAATTAGTCAAGACAAAACACACATGGATCGAACCATTTACCGATTCAGCGATATACTGCTTGCAGTATGGACACCGGACAGTAGGCTTGATGATCTTGTCGTGAAAGATCAACATGTACAAATGTCCGACGGCGTACAGAGTAAGGCTGACACCTAGGAAGTTGATAGCGGTCTCAATAAACGCTCTGGATAAATCTGCGTCAAAACTGACTGAAGGGACACGAGTAGCTGAGGTAGGTCTGCATACCCATAAGCCAGAACCAGCGCCCCATCTTCTCTGGCTTGAAGGAGTGTATTATATCCATTCTGCTGGTCAAAATTGGGACCCTTGGAGAGCACGGCGAACTTCTGATCCATGTTTCGGTTTAGAAATGGCAACAGAGAAACAATCGGCAGAACCATGTCTGTTACGAAAGATGTGACGACTTTAGTGAACGCATTAGCTATACTTTAAGTAGGATCCATATGTTAGCAGGGTGGTTAGGTCGTTATGCAAGAGGGAGAACTAACATCAAACCTAACGCGACCTCGAGGACATTATCCCGCGCCGCAAAATTTATGAAGCCGTCCCAGGCATGTCTCACTTGCTCCTGGGCCTTTTGGCCAGTACGTAACAAGGCGTCGGTGCTTTCGTCGAGACCGCGCATGTTGGGTTACGGTGCAGCTTGTGAAGCACGGAAATCAAGAGAGCATATTTAGGCGAAAGCGGAGAAAAGAAGGAGGATACCCCCCTCGAAGGACGCCTTTACCGGAGCTTTAAGGTCCATGCGGGTCATGTGGGTGTGTTAGGCGCGGGGATGCGATTTAGCTATCTTGGCGGTGCCCTCGTACTCCGTACATGTGGATCCCTATAGTCCACTATTAAAAGTTTAGGCGCACTGTAATGACGGCGTGGACAATAAACATCTCTGCTTAGGAAGGTATTGCTTGGCTCTCAAAATGGCTGAGTTTATGATGCTGTAGCATACATTGGTACCCTGTACCTAGCAACACGCGGGAAATGCCGCCTTGTGAGAAGTGCTGAGTACCTTTTCCGTAATTAACGTCCACGGGTAGAGCTGCACGTCTACAATTATAACTGTAAAGACACAATAGTATTGAAAGTCGCTTCCGGCATGGCATGACTATGCCTCTTTACTAAATGTCATATCTTCTCATAGATATAGGGAATACATATGTATGCCTAGTTCAAAGAGATCAAAATCGGTCACATAAAGCGATATAGCAGCACCTTCTGCAGCAATCTGTCCCATCCCCAGGCTATTTCAAGGAAATTAGACCTGATAGCAGTCATAAATCCAAGCACTCGCTCACGATTCGACAAGCCACTAGAGACATACCATCGCTGATCAGAAACGAGACCCATCAAATCAAGCCGTAGGTCCTGCCAATCGATTGAATAGTTGGACTCCCTGAGTGAGTCCAGTTCAGAAAATAACTACTCTTTTAACCGCCCCGCCCAAAAACAATCAGGCAATTTCCACTGCCATGCAGAAAGCATATTCCGTGTCTTCTCCACATCAGCCAGTGCGTAGTCAATAGGGCAAGTCCCCTCTACATGTAATCGTGGCTGGATCCACGAATACGACTACTACAAGTTTACACACAAATTCTTAAAAAAATTCTCACTTCTATTGATAACCATCTATACATGAAACCTGTCCTGGATTTGCAAAGCCGTCGACTCAAGGAATCCAGCAAGCCAAAGGTTCTCTATCTCACGATGTTCAACCTTTATTGCCAGTCCCTCTAAATGGGCCTCTATCTCATCGCATTCGTCTTCAAACTCAGTCTGATCTGCCAGATCCCGGTTGAACCAATAGCTGTCTTCCTTGAGAACGAGAGAACATCTCGGGGTTTCCGCAATCATATCAAGTCCGGTGTCTTTCACTTGCGCTATTTTAGACCATAGACTTATAAGCCCTCTAGTAATATTGCTGTTATGCTCGTGTTCATGATTCTCCGGGTGTAGTCTGGCGTAATCCGCTAGGGCCTCTGCTTCTTTCACGAAGGCGCGGCATTCCTTTTGGAAGCTTTTCTGCCATGGAGAGCGTGCTTGCTCGCGCTTAGACATCTTTTTCGCTGGTAAGGCTTACAAGCAGGATGCTGGAATTGGGGCTTACCTGGGTGTTATTGTTGACAATGTGGAATCGATTGAACTGAAAGAAAAGGAGGTGCAAGTCTTGTTCTTGGATGTTTGAATGTCGATTGACTTACTCGGGAAAGTGCTGGAATAAGAGCGACTTATGATTTCCGGTGAATGCTCACCTACCTAGTATTGAAGGCCTCTGAGTAGAGAAGGAAAGATGCCAAAAAGCCCACAGAAGCCTTTGTTTTTTGGCATCCACTTCTCTTCACGACGGTTATTCAATTCTTTCATGTCTCCGGTACTCCTAGTTCCACTGAGTCAATGACTTTGTCGATTGGCTGACGATTCCTCAATTGAGACAAAAGACAATAGCACTGTTTGAATTCTTTGTGCTATTTTCCTCCTAGTAAACATCTAGAAGATGCCAACAAAGCGATCATGACTTCCTTGTCGTAGGTAACGAACGACAAAGGGAAAACAAATGAAATGGGACACTCCCTTCAAAGGAAGACAATCCGACAGGTACATGTAGTTCCAACCCTTATCTTATACAGTAGACTTGTTATGTGGAAAGCTAGATTAGGACGACCAGACAAATCATATCGAATATTAGAGTCCTGCATCATGTTAGAAGAATACCTAACACAGTGACGGCGGCAGATGTTACAAAAGTCCCAGAATAAAGATCAGACCTAGAAGCCTGGGCCTTGGAAATGGGAACATTCCACACGATAAGTAGGTAGGTTCCGGTGACAATATGATCAAGCACATTTCACCAGCCACATACAGCAATTTGTAACATTACCTACTAGTAGGTAACTACATATGTAACAACCTCAACCTCGGGAGAGAGTAATGGATTTACGTAACAACCAGCCTTGATCTTGAAAGTTAGCATCTCCTTCTCACCTATCGTGCATAGATTGGCAAAATTGACAGGCTACTACTCCGTAGTCCCTACAGAACTGCCCTAAATCATACATCTCAAGACATAAAATGATAAACGCTATTACATCACAATGCATAAACTATATACATTTATACAAAACACCCCATGCCATTCAACTGTGCTCCCTCGCTGGACATAGTAAGTGTATTATCTCGGTGGCGGACTATACGACATCGGGCCAGGAGTGGTATACGGCGAGAGCAGAGTAACCCCCCGTTCCCTGGCTGCACGAGAGCGGTACTCCTCACGCTTCTGGATCTCCTTCTCGTCCTGAATCAATGTGCAGCATGTACAGCAGGATGCGCGCACGCAGTCCGATGCAATACTACCCTGGATCCCATATGTTTTTCTCGTTCTGGTATGTTGGACCGTGGCCAGTAACCCTATTGTCATGGTGTTAGAATTTTACTTTCCTTTTTCTTTTGGATTGTCCGGTCGTAATGTAGCAGATCTCACTCAAGCTTGGAACTGAACTTGAAGTCGGAGTGTGACTTAGACTTACATTGACATCCGCATAGCAGTCCCATCGCCGTGCATGACCCGTTGCATGTCTCATAGCCGAGCATGTTGGTCGGGTCCTCCTTTCTTGATTTCATCGAAAGTCGGTGTTGTGTCCTCCCATACAAAATGCACGGACATAACAGTCCCAGACAGCAGATTCCGAAGTTCGAAAATTCGCACAGTCCGTTGCTCCATCCTCCTCCCTTCATCTCCTGATTTGGATGGGTGGTTTGGCCAGGCTGGTGGTATGCGCTCAGGTCATCTGGTTGGGCAGCGTGCGATGTTGTCGCTCTGGTAGGTGGAGGGAAATAGGGCGACTTGGGTGACTGTAATGGATTTTCGTCCGGGGCAATGGTCATGGTTTCGCTTCGTGTTGGAGCTTCGGGGTTTACCTTCACCGGCAGTGGCCCTGGCGAATTGGGTGGCGAGCCGGGGGTTTCGGTACACGAGCCATATTGCTGGGATGTTTCGACGCTCCGCTGTTGTTCCGGGATGTGGACGTATGACTGCGTCGCATACGGATGACTCGAGTATGAGTTGGGGGACATCGGGGTGCTGTGCTGTTGTTCGGGTATGTTCGCATACTGGGGAGATATGGTCATGCCAATCTGTTGGTGCCATTGGTGCTGCTGTCGCTCTGGTATATTTGTATACGGCTGACTCGCATACGTCTGAGGAGACATCGTGCGACTTTGTTGTTCCGCTATGTTTGTATACGACTGGCTTGTATAGGATTGGGCATAAACTTGAGCGACATGCTGCTGGTGCTCGGGCGCGATTGCGTACGTCTGAGGAGACATCGAATTGTTATGTTGTGGCTGTAGTTGCTGTTGCTGCTGCTGCTGGTTTTGAACCAAAGGCGCATAATTGGCCGGGTGCTGCTCGAGCGGCGGACAGTTGGCATAGTCCGGGATTATTCCCTGATTTTGAAATTGCTCTTTCTCACTTGGTGCATATGACCATGCTCGCTGTCGCTCTTTCAAGGGTCCTTCCGCTGCATGAGGCTGCGGGGTCGCGCTCTGGTCCGCTGGGGGAGGCGACGATAGGTCCCGCTGGTAAGATGAAGGGTGCATTTCGAGTGGTGTTTCCATAAATGAATATCTCTGGTGATTTCCTCCAACTGTGGTATCCACGTTCAAGCGACTCATTTTGAAGTCGAGACAGCAGGTTTTGCTGATAAACCTGCTCCCAGGTAAATGGATATAACTCTGATCGAGATTTTCTCAAGAGTAAAATAGTAGATTTAGTTGAAGTAGGAAACTGTATGACACGCGACTCAACGGCTTACCCACGATCAACATGGGCTATAGGAAAAGAGAACTGAAGGACATGCGATCGACAGTGGAAAATGGGATGTATAAGGTCCAAGTGCCTATAGGCGAGTGTGAAAGCAGGCGCATGGTGGAAGGAAACCGGCATTAGACTAAGGAGTCGAAAGACCATCAAGCGGGGAGTACAAAAGTCAGAGCTCTGCGGGGATCTCCTCTCTTTTTCTTCTACGGGGAAGCTGGTTCGTTGAAAAAGAACGATCCTTGCTCTCCCTTGGCCCCTAATGCATCTACTTCACCTCGCTGAGGGCTCTGGTTGGGTTACGACCCGCTCGGCTCCCAATCACTTTTATCCCATCACAATCACACTTACGCGCTGTTGGTTTTAGTACTAGGGACGAAGTAGTTAGTTTGGGAGTAGGGAGTTGCTTGGTTTATATATTCACCATTTCTCTCTTGCGAAATATCTTTATGATTTAAATGATTTCTATACTTATTCTACCGTTCACAACATATATTTACCTACTACGCTGACATTATACATTTTGTAAAGAATATTAAGCAGGCAGCAGCTTTGAGAATTTTAATTCCGCTACTTCGTCTTAGCCGAATATGTACTACAACATACATCTCTTTTCCCCCTTAAGATAAGGTCCGTTTCGTGGCTTTTCAAAGTGGGGGCAATTAAATTGATCGTTTTGGGGACGAAGGCGATATAAGCCTCATTTTAGCCTGAGAGCTTAAACCCGGACTAGACTATTATTAAGGATTAGCTTCTTAGGAATAGTTAAGATACGAAGATATCTTCCAGAGAAGATAAGATATTAAAATGTTGCAGAATTGAAAATCAAGGACACCTATTAGCGATCGACATGGCTGCACACTATTAATTGAGACAGGTGATTGGCAGATCATGCATAGCAAAATAAAGATACCAACATTGAAAAGATTACCTTGGCTCGAAGGAAGTGAATCTCTAACCCTGGAAGCCAGGCTATAACTATCTACATATGTATTGTCATATCCCCACTATATCATTCCAGATCTCTAAAATTCAATATGTTATTATGAATACTCCAGGACAGAAGAGAAGAAGAGAAGAAGAGAAGCTCTGTAAGACGTTGCACAATAGGCCGACTACACCATATACTTGTAGAGCTGCATTGTATTCTTGCAGAGAAAGCGAAAGAGGCAAACTCCCCGCTCAAATTTTTTTTATAACTTCATCTTTCTTCCATATTCTCTCCTTCTTCTCTTCCCCCCTCTCTCTCTCTATTTCCGATAAATCTTCATTATCTCCTTTACCTTTTTATTTTTTCCAATTTTGGCCTGAAAATCGGATCCACCCAAGGGCGGTGACGATCAAAGGGCTCTCTCACTCAACTTCCCTTCATCAAATTCCCTTTTCCCTTACTCCTTGACTCTTTTGCTTCCCCGGCATTCCGACCGATTTGCGGCTTTTTCCTAGCCTGTAAGATCTCTCTCTGCACCAACGTGGCCCCCCAAGAACTCCTTCCCCACTCCCTTGAGTCCCATAGAATTTCCTCTGACGCCTATCTTTCTTCTAGTTCTAGGCATCTCACTTCTTAAATCCTCTTTTTTAAAACTTACGCCCAACCGCTCCGGTTTCCGTTTCCATACCATCCCGCCTTGCGCTTGACCAATGTCCTCCCCATGTCAAACTCGCCGTTCGTTCCCGAAGATACCTTGCCTAGTCCCCTGGTGACACCTGCTACACCTGCCCAACATGATTGCTCGAACGATACCGTCCATGAGGTTAGCCCACGTCACCACTTACAGCAATCCCAGCATCTGTCTCAGGGGTCTGGGGAGGTTTCCTCACCGTCGCGCGCTGAATCTCCCACCGCCCATTCCTGGTCTCAGCCCGCCTCTCGATTATTCCCTCTAAAAAGGACCGCAACCACACCTCCGGAGAATATCGCGCACCCGGATATTGTCTACAGGCCTCAGCTGTCAGAACGTGACAGTATTTTCGCTACTCATTACCTTCCCTCAGATAGCGCCGCAAATACCCCACAATTACCCCCCGAAAAGACCTTGGGCAATGAACGCCAGGTCAACTTGATCCCTAGCCTCGATGATGCATCCGTGTCTCCAAGTGCATTCTCCAAGGTCTCTCCCCACCGTTCTAACGTCGACCCTTCCCGCATGGAAGTTGACGTCCACAGAAACTCTCCATTGCGTTCCTCTTCCCTCTTTTCATCCACCGATCTCCCTCGCTTGTCTCTCCTGCGCGCATCGACCTCGCCGACTGATCAACCCAAGGAAACAGATGTAGAGACGGGTGGGCAGGCTCATTTGGGATCTCAGCGGTACAAGGTGTCATTGGATAACACAGGTACGAAAACCAGTCGGTTTCAAGGCACTTTACCTGAACGGAATCTCTTCCCGCCCACACTAGATGATGTCTCTCGTACCCCCCACTCTTTGACCGTTTCATCCTCTGGCGAGGGCTCTCAGGTCAGTCGGGATCTCTTATCCTACAGTCCAAAAGAAGAAGCCCCTCAGGCCCCTGTGGCGCTTGAACGAAGCCCCAGCAGAGGTCGGCGTGGCCGAGTCGACAGCTCAATTGAAGCCAATTTGACCAACGCGGAGCCGACTTCTAATGTGCGCAGCCGTAAGTCTAGCCACTACTTGGGCCTTTTCAAAGAAAACACAACTTCTTCACCGGATCGCAAACGACGGGAGGATCGCGGCCGACCACAAGATGAGACGTTGCAGCCGAGGGATCGCATCATGGATTATGAGCAAGAACCACATCGTTCAGAGGAAACTTCGCTTCGTAAAAGCATATCGCTCTCCGCACTTGACGATGCTCCGTCTCTCGAACCTCCACCTCCGGCTGAGTTCCCCCAGGCCATACATGATGATGAGCCATCCAAGCGTCGCCCTACAGCGTTGCCTCGCAGCTTGTTAGAGGAGATCCGGAACTTTCATCTCACGCCTGGCGGTAGGCATGGATCATCTTTCTCAAAAAGCATTCCAACTCAATATTCAGAGCGCAGCCGTGACTACTTCCAGAAGAATCTTCATGTCGAGGTATCCCCGTCCGACTCGTTCGAGGAAGAGGAGCGTGAATCCGGCCAATTTGCGGTTGAGGAGGAGGAAAACGAGCAGATCTCTTCTGCCGTTTACTTCCCCCACGAGCGTACAGTGCCTGATGGGGTTGAGGCCCTACAACAATTTCCCGATGGCCCCCTTGATGTGCAGCCAGGTCATCTGTCGGCTGCGGAGAAAGGTCATGAGCTGATGTTAGTACCCCAAGAGCGTAGCGATTCTCCCGAAAAGGAAATCAGCCATGTGGATATATCCTTTCGATCTAAGAATGAAAGTAAGATCTTTTCTGGCGATATCCATTCTCCGCGAGAGAACGTGCCAGATAAGCCTTTGAGTACCATCTCTGAATACAGCGATTCAATCTACGATTCCGAAGTCGAACCCCAGTCAGCAGATGAAAGTATGCAATCTGCCGACGAGACGGAAACCCCGACTGCCACACCGACCCAGCATTCCCGGCTTCTTTCTCGCCCCAAACCCCCGCCCCCGGGACCTCTTGGCGCCGTGGAATTGAAGCCCTATCGACATCAGGTTGGCGGGCATACAACTGTTTTCCGATTTTCCAGACGCGCTGTGTGCAAGCAGCTGAACAACCGAGAGAATGAGTTCTATGAACGCATTGAACTGAGGCACCCAGATATGTTGGTGTTTCTTCCAAAGTACGTAAAATTAATCCCATGGAAAGCAGACGGTTATCGGCGTATCAAATACTAATCTTCTGGTCAGATACATCGGAGTGCTGAATGTCACCTTCTCGAAGACGTCCAAACGAAAGGATCAGGTTGATTCCGTCGATGGAATAATTCCAGAGAAGACGCCTGCCAATGGAACTTCGGCGCTAAGCTCTCAGCTTCATGAGGCAGCAGAGACACAAGAGCCACAGCGCATTTTTAGCCAGTCCCAAGTCACAGGGGTCATCCCCAAGGTCATTCTTGAGAATAATCGCCACATCATCCCTGCCGATCTTTTTACTCAGCAGCAGCGACCGCGGACAGCAGATGCTTCAATAAACCGCGCACGGTCCGTTGACGGCCTCAGGGGCATGTCAGCGGAGTCGGATACATCGGCTTTCAGCAAGCGGGCTAAGATATGGGGCGCCACGACTGTCAATCTCAAGCTTCAGGAGCAGGTTCTCCGCGAGGTATTCAGCCCTCCTGCCATTCATCATCACCGACGGCGTGCTCGTGGCCATGTCCATCTTCCAAGAGCTAATTCCGACATGCCCGCCACATCCCACCGCCGTGAGAACCTATCAGAAGACCACACAGCTAGCAATCGGCGGCCAGTCCCTGGGCCAATTGAAGCTCTGAAGACAGAAGCGATTGACATAAAGATGCCCCCTAGCGAAGGCCCTGCTCTTTCATCGTCGGCTTCGACTGCCCTAGACGCCAATCAAAATCGCCTAGAGAAGATCCGGACCGAAGAGGAGCCTAACCGAGCTAGCTCGCTTTCTCCGGCTCATCACACAAGACGGCGGCATTCTGGGAGTGGCCTCCGGAGACGTGGTAGCATGGACTCCCGCAACAATGGAGAGCTCATGTTCTTCGATGACGATGATTATGGCGGCGACAAGGAGGACGATATTTTCTCCATGGAAGCCGATAACTCAATGTCGAATGCTTCTTCCACCGCAAAACGGTCAGCTTCACCAGCGTCAGAAAGTTACTCGACCAATGGCCACCACGCAATCGAAGGTTTTGCTCCCAGTAGAACTTCTGATCCAAACCGCTTCAGACCGCAAGAACCCATCAACACGGTCTTGCCCAGCAACCCTAAAGAGGCACAGCTGAGAAAGGACGAAA